AGCATGCAGCCCATGACTGAATCGGCCCAGCAGAATGAGAGCCTGCTATCGCAGCAACAGTGGATGCACCGCCGGATGCGATGGAGCAGATGAGGCGTGACGGGATCGACTGGCCAAATGCTAGTTGGACCCAGCCTGGGAAGATGTGACAAATTCGAATCCGTCGCCAGACCATCCGAATTGGCATGGGTGCCTACTTGCGTTCTGTAGCCACCCGGCGTACGACCCGACGGCGGCCGACAGGCCGGTGGCTCCATTGATGGAGTCGGCAATGATCCCTGATCACTTCGCGCTGACCACTGGGGTAATTATATCGGTTTGGAAGTCAACCTGGGTTACCCTAAGTCAGGGGAACAGCGGGTGACTTCTACCAACCGCAGCTCGCGCGAGGCGCAGGATACGAGTCAGGTGTCCCTGGACAGGCACCGTACAACGGCTATCTGGCGCCATCGATGGACCAGGATGTCACCTCGCACGGTCCTGAGCTGACGATCCCGTTGTCTCTGGGAGAGCTTCGTCTTGAGATGCTGGCAATGCACGAATCAGAACAAGCGAACCTCTCAGCCCAACATGCGCGACAGCAGCGTAAGCAGGCGCGACAGGCGCGACGCATGATGGGCTGCGGTGCAGGGGAACTTGCTTTTGGGTTTGTAGCTGCGGGGCAATCTGCTTCAATGCAGGCGGGCCCGAGAGCGCCGCCAAGCCGCGATGGGGCGGGCGAGGCGACGCTCGAGCGGCAGAGGCGTGCGAGGCCAGCAGCCACACCACCCATTATCAACGACGACGACTTCACAATGTGCGCGATCTGCCTCGAGGAGTTCGAGTGCCGCGACAAGATCTGGAGTCTCCAGTGCGGCCGCGTATTCCATGCAGCGCTCTGGGACAGAGTGGCCCAGTCGCACGTCGACCGGCAGATCGAGGGGGCCCCCGATGAGGCGCCGCGCGCCGTGCGCCGTGGCGCCGGAAATATCGCGGCCGCGTTCCGTTGCGCTTTTGCGGGCAGACAAGACTCTGAACAACGACATCAGGCAATGCTCCGAGAGGCGAACGAGCGCAGGGGCCTCCGCGAGGAGCTGAACAGGGTCATAGCCACGATTACAAGGTCCACAGCGCCAGCGGGGTAACTGCGTCTCTTGCGGGGCAACCTGCCGACCGCGGCGCGCGGGCGCCAAACGCAATGCCGCCGCCATATGCGCGACCAGAGCGGCCAGCAGGGATGCCAGCCGCACATTCTCATGTGCCGCTCTCAGCTGAGCCAGCTGCAGATGCAACGCCAGCAGCAACTACTGCGGGGCTACCTGCTAGTGAAGCGCGGCTCAGGCGCGTGGAAAGGGCCAGCGCGCCTTACGGCAGGACGCGGGGTAACCAGCTGCGCCGGCGCCCCGCTGACAGCCCGGTCAGCGCGCGCAGTGGCGTTAGTGCCATGTCTGAGCGCGACATGCTACAGGCACTGCTGGCGGCCAATATATGGTCAGATGGCGGCGCGCGCCGACGGGGGTGCCCGCCAGAACATTCTACTAACGCAACAATCGCCCCGATGGGGCGAGTGCCCAACTGACTGGATCCCCCAGCAATGCCCGATCACAGAGGAAGAGCCACGAGCCTACATGAGTGCGTTCACGCCCATGCATAAAGATGAATGGGCCCTGGAGAAGAGGCGCTTGAAGGGCGCGATTGGCACGGCGGTGGCGACGGCCAAGGGCTGCGCTGGCGATCGCCACGAGTTGGCCCTGGCGGCAAACAGCGGCGCCATGATCGATGGCATGCTGGCGATCCTGCTGGACATCGGCAGCAATATCAACATCATCGGCATCGAGACTGCGCGGACGTTTGAACGGGTCTCGCGCGCCCATGGTCGCGACGTGGAAAGGTTGAACTTACGTAAACCACTGTAATTACGTGACTGGGGCGGGTTCAGGAGCTGCGGCGCGCAGGGCGTCGGGCCACTACGAGATCGCCCGCGCGTGCAGGGGTGACCCCGCGGGGCAACCTGCCACTGCGAAGCTGGACACCTAGTCGGCCAGCGTGGCCGACGGGCCCGGTGAGAACCTACCCGCTAGTCTTGGCCTGAGGACCACGTCGTCGACGCGTGCCATCTTGATTTTTGAGAGTGGCAGCGAGAAGATGGCCATCACATGCCCAGGCATGCACAGGCTCCTCGGAAAGGGCGCTCGGGTGATTGACTTGGTGACGACGCCATCAGGACACCTGGCGATCATGGTTGGTGAGTGCGACGGGGCGCCGGAAGCCGATAGGGAGACAGCCTTCACCCTCGCGGCCGCGCCCAGACGCGAGGGTGCACCCTGGGGATCCCCCATTGGAGGGTTTGTCGGTGTTTTGTTTCGGGTGTTTCTCTGGCGTTGTTTCTGTGGTTTTCCTATGGTTTTCCGGCGGGGGAACCCCTCGAGACAAATTTTGTTTTTAACATCAAAAACAACAGCCAATCTGATTTTTTCTGAGGTTTTCCCGGGAGGGTGGGGGGGGGCGCCGACAAAAAACCCAACTCTTTGTTTTGTTCTGATTTGATTCGGCGGTTTTCCGGGTGTTTTTCGAGGGGGAGAACGCGCGAACAAAAACCCAACATTGTTTTTTAATTGCAGCTGTTTTTCTGTAGTTTTCCCCGGCTGGGGCCCCGCATTTACCCCCGAAGCATAAACCAAATCTTTGTTTGTTATATATAATACTAATTATGATAATGATAATAATAATAACAATAATAATAATAATAATAATAACCGGGATTTTTCCAGGGGGAACTCTCACAACACTTTCAGGGTTATCAAATCTGCTGCTTTTCAAGCAAGCATTGCAGAACACAAACAACGAGTTGGGGGGGTCTTAGGGGTATGGCCCGAATTGCGATGTGAAGGGGTTTGCACGATCGTTCCCCGGACCCCCTCGAAAAATCGCAGGAACAGGAACGTCATGTTTTTTGTGTTGTCGGGGTGTGTGTGCAGTTTTTTCCGTGTGTGCGTGTGTGTGTCCCCCAGGAGTTTGTTGAACATGCTTTTTCTGGGAGCATTCTTGTTTTAAGCGTCGGGCCCCGGAAACCTTCCGACAACCCCCCACTCCGGGATCCGGGGGGGGAAACATTTGAAAATCAACAGTTCAGGGTTTTTTTCTGGGGTTTCCCGGGGGGGGGTCCAAGGAACTCCCATACCGGTTTCGGTAGTGTGGTAGATTGTTGTGGTGGTGGTGATGGTGGGTTGTTGTGGTGCTGGTGGTGGTGAGTTATGGTGGTGGTGGCTGTGGTGGTGGTGGTGGTGGTGGTTGTGTGGTGGGTTGGTGGTGGTGGTGGTGGTGGTTTGAGGTGGTGGTGGTGGTATTGGTGGTGGCGGTGGTGGTGGCGTGGTGATTTGTGGTGGTGGTGGGCTGTGGTGTTGGTGGTGTTGCTGCTGCTGCTGGTACCGGCGCTGGTGGTGGTGGTGGGTGGTGGGTGGTGGGTGGTGGTGGTGCTGGTGGTGGTGGTGGTTGTGGAGGTGGCGGTGTGGTGGTTTGTGGTGGTTTGTGGTGGTGGTGGTGGTGGTGGTGGTGGGTTGCGGTGATGATTGTGGTTGTGGCGGTGGTGGTGATGGTGGTGGTAATGGTGTGGTGGTTTGTGGTGGTGGACGTTCTGGTGGTTGTGGTGGGTTGTTGTGGGTTGTGGTGGTGCTGGTGATGGTGGCGCTTTTGGTGGTGGTGGTGGTGGTGTTGTGGATTGTGGTGATGGTGGTTGTTGTGGAGGTGGTGGGTTGTGGTGGTGGTTGTGGTGGTGGTGGTGGTGTGGTGGTTTGTGGTGGTGGTGGTGGTGCCACCGTGTTTTGGCTTTGGGTCAGAGTTCTAATGGATGATGCCTCTTGAGGCTTCGTCAGAAGGGTATCGGGGCGTCTGAGGAGCATGTGTGAAGCCTCGTGGACCTTCCTCAGGGCCTCCCGGTGGCTTCTGGGGGGCGAGGGCTCGATATGGCGATTTGCGTGTTCCCTCTGCGGCCTCTGGGTTCTCCTCTGGTAATCGTCGCTGCGTCCCCGCCGTCGGCGCTGCTGGCCGCCGCCAGCGCCGTCGCGGGGGGGGGGGGGGAGAGAAGGCTTGGACCCCTCTCTGGTCATCGTCGCTGTCTCCCCGCCGTCGGCGCTGCTGGCGGCCGCCAGCGCAGACGCCGGCGCTGGCGCCGGGGGGGGGGGTTGGGCCCCCCCCTTCTGGGAGGGGGGGGGGTCGGGAGGGGGGGGGTTAGGGGGGGAGGGGAGTCTCTGTGGTTCTGATCGACGGCGCCACCAAGTGTTGGGGGGGGTCCCACCCCCTTGTTCGAAACGCGCCGCCGAACGTTCCCAAGTCAGGCGCCCGTGAAACGCGCTCTCTCAGATGTGTCGACAACAATGAAATGCCGCCAAAATTGCAATCCACTGCATTCGAACGCACGATGTCTGCGGTTGGGTGCATGTCGGCCTGCTTTGGTGTGCGCGACAGTTGCATTCATTGCGAATTTTGCTCCGTTGCTGCGTACGCGGACGAGTGTGGGCACTGCGGGTTTGGACTCCTGACTCAAGAGTCAGAAGAACCTTGTCTCACACAGGTCTTCACTGGGTCGTTTTTATCGCACATGCGTGGGCCAAACTGTCTCCAGACCAGAAGTGTCATGGCCCCCGGCCCCTATCAGCCAAAAAAACTAAGTGACCGAAAGCATGGCCGAAATTGCAACTGAAAGCGTGGTTTGGCTGAGGTTATGACTGAAATTGGACATCGTTTTCGTTTCCATCTACTAATTTCGGTCACACTTTGTCGTGTTAGGAGAAATCTGGGAGCTGATTTCGGTCACACTCGAGCACAGTTTCGGGCAAGGTTTCGGTCACTACACCTCCTGATAGAGACGCGGCTGCGTGAGGAGTGGGGCCAAGGCCACGCCGGTGGGGGCAGGGATCGGTTCAACGATGCTCACCGCTCCCCCCCCTCCCCCCGCGGCGCCCTCCGTGTGCTGCGCGCCTGCCCCGCGCCGGCCCCCCGTTGTCCCCCCCCCCCCCCTGCAGGTCGGCTCTCGCGCGGCCGGCCCGGAGGACGACCTGGCGCAGGAGAGTCGCGCGCTGTGTCATGGGGGGGATGCGCGGGGGGTGGAAGGGATGGCCCTGCCTTTGAGGATCGATGGAGCTGCCACCGTCTCTTCCTCGGCGGCAGGCGGCGGAAGGCGGAAGCAAAACGAGAGCGGCTCCGGCGGCGGAAGGCCAGCGGAAACCAGCGAAAGTACAGGATGCGCCCCCAAGAGATGGCAACATTTTAGGGTTCAGGCTTTCCGGGATCCGCCACATGGGGGGTGCCCTCTGGTGCCCACAGGAAGCACGACAAGTGCGCGTTTCTTCGCTCCCAACCTATACATCGCCCCCACATTAAGCATCGCCCAAGAGATGCTCCCGCGCGTGCCCGCGCGCTGCGCGGAGGAAGGGGAGGGGTGCCCGCCCTCCCTCCTCTTCCCCGTCTCTTAGCTCCTCCTCCTCCTCCTCGCCCCTCCTCGTCGTTGTCGGTTTTCGTCCTCGTCGTCGTCGATGTCCTCGTCTCTCGTCACCAGGCGTGAGATGGGCCCCGCGTGAAGTGGACGGCTGGTGCAAGGTGCCTGAGCTTTTGGGGTGGGCCGAGCCGTTGGGCTCGGAGCGACGACACTCGCGTTTGTAGTTTTGGCTTAGTTCACTCACGTTTTAGTGGCCGTAGGACATCCCGTGCAAACGCTGGCAAAACCCGCGTGAAGTGGAATGTCCCTGCGAGAGGCGTCCCCGTGCGAACGAGACGTGCCCAGGCTTGAGAAGCTGGCGCGAAAAGCTCAAGTGTGCTCAGCATATGTCCTGTTGCCGCGGGCTTTCTGGGGCTGTCCGAGCCGCTCGGCTCGGAGCGACGGTAATCGCGCCTCCCAGTAGTGCTTGGACAGGTCGGTTGGCTTCGCCTCACGCCGCCCAGGGTGCGCATGCAGCACACGCTGTGCACTGCACTCCTTCCCGCACTATTCAGACTAAGATTCAGCTCGGCGTGCCGGCAAGTCCATTTTCACATGGTTCCCCGGAGCCTTCGCAAGACCCTCATCTGGGCGGGGCGCGCCCTCATTCGTTGCCATATCCCAAGCCAGGCATCCTCTCCTGCTCTTCACCCAGAGGTGGGCCTGTTTTGCTCCAGCGGCGGGTTTTGGTTCACCACTCCAAAACCAACCCTCGGGCCCCTGAGGCGGAGTTAGGCGTGCTGGCCCATCAGCTATCGGTCTCAGGGTTCTGGCCCCTCATGCGTTGCCAAGTGGAGTGTTGACCCCGCGTGCGGTGCCACGCTCATGCAGGGGCTGTGGCCCCTCATGCGTTGCCATTCTCATGCTGGGGCTATGGCCCCTCATACGATATCTTTGCCCCAGTGGTGGATTTTGGAACGGCGTTCCAAAATCCGCCTTAGGGCCCCTAAAGCGGATTTGGGAGTGCTGGCCCATCCGCTAACGGTACCGATGTTGTATCCAATCATGGATTGCCAGTTGGAGTGCTGACCTCACGTGCGTTGTCATGCTCATGCTTGGGCTGCGGCCCCCCATGCGTTGCCATGCTCGTGCTGGGGCTGGGGATGTGGCCCCACATGCGTTGTCATACTCCTCAAGGTGACCACACAGAGGTCACGACTTTCGCGACAAGCCGATGCCGTTGGGAGGTTTAGCCCTTCGTAAGGTCACCCGCATCGCATTCAAGGAGCCTCCATGAGGGGCCCACGCTAGCCCCAATAAGGGATACGTTTAGGAACATACATCCCGAGCGCCTTTCGCGCACACGTTCCGTCGCTATCCTCGCCTCTCTGCCTCAGTGCGGCGATAGCGGATGGGCCGGTACGCCCAACACAGAGATAGCAGGAACTGTTCAACCTGTGGTTTAGTGTGCTTCATTGTCGTGGGGCAGCCCTTTGGGCGGTAGATGGTGTTGATATGTTGAAGGACTCTCAGCAGAGGGGAGGCCACGGCGTAATCTCCCTTTGTAGTTGGACAGGGGCCTTTTGGTATTACGAATCGTGAACTTGAGCCAAGCCTTTGCAGTGGAAGGTGAGCCACATCTGACACCCAGGAGTGCCCCATGGCGGGGCTCTTTGGGTGGGCCATGCAGGAAAGCTTTGAGGCCCCAAGAGGGGGCCCAAGGAGTCCAAAGGGGACCCAAGAAGCCCACCAGAGGACCCCGGGAGGCCCCAAGAGGGGCCCACGAGGGCACCACAAGGGACGCAAGAGGGCCCCGCGGTGACTTCGCGCAGAAGGAGCAGCAGGAGGAGCAGCAGAAGGAACAGCAGAAGGAGCAGCAGGAGGAGCAGCGGGGGGAACGGCAGGAGCAGGAGGAGCAGGCAGCAACACGAAGGGGGAGGATCTACTGGCCTCTGCCTCTGCCCGTGCCGCCGTCGACGTCCGTCATCTGTCGTCGCCAGCGGCGTCGCCAGCGTCGTCGTCGTCGTCGTCGTCGTCGTCGTCGTCGTCGTCGTCGTCGTCGTCGGTAGCCAGCGCACCGCCGTCGTCGTCTTCGGTCGTCGTCCGTCGACTGCCGCCGCCGTCGCCGCGTTCGCGCCCAGACTTCAAGAGCCAGCGTCGAGGCTGGCCGCGGGCCCCGCCCTCCCCACCCCACCCCGCATCGCGCGCGGGCAGCGGGGCCCGGTCGCGGCGGCCGCGGGGCGGCCGCTGGGGCGGGGCCCGCGGAGGGCATGACCCTCACGAGAAGGGAAAGGGATGCCTTCTTCGCCGAGGCCCGGGCCTCTGGGGGGTTGGGGGGGCTGCAGACCTCCTTTTCTTGCCCCTCTTCTTCTTCTTCCTCCTCCTCTTCCGTAGCCATGTTGGCTCAACCGATCGCACGGCCGCGTCTCCTTCCTCTCCTTGCAGGACCGCAGGATGGCGCTGCCTAGAGGGGCTCGCGCGGCGCCTGTGGACCTGGCGGCCCTTGTGGTTACAGCGGTCGGAGGAGCCGTGGACGGCGGCGCGCCGCGCCGCATTGTCGCCGCCGTGGCATGTTCCGCCGTGTCGGCCGCCGCCGGGGTGCGCCCTGGGGTGGTTGCCGACGCTGCTCTTCGCGCTTCTTCGGAGGCGCTGCGTGCGCGGCGGCGCAGGCGCCGTCAGAGGCGTGCAGGGCGGCGCGCACTGGAGCGAGGGGACGCTGCGGCGATGGAGGATGCAGCGGTGGCGGGTGTCCTGCCGCCAGCTGAGCCCCCCGCTGCCGCCGGCGACCCCAACATGGACGTCGACGGAGGCTGCGACGACGACGTCGGGTTCGACGACACCTGGGCTGACAAGGCCGCGTCGGGGAGGCGCAGGCCCAGTCCTGCTGGGGCGCGTGTTGCTGCGGGAGGCCTTGCTGGAGTAGGCGGCGTGCCGCCTGCGGAGGCTGGAGCTGAACGCGGCGACGGTGGCGGTGCAGCGGCGGCAGCGCCTGCGGTTGCTGATCCCGCGCTGGCGCTGGCGGCGAATGGAGCAGATGGTGTGGGCCTCGCCCCGCCGTCCGCGGAGGTCGCCGTCATGGTGGCTGCGCCGCCCGCGGATGCTGGGGGGGGGCTTCTGCGGAGCTCGCGGCGCTCGGGCGGCTGAAAGCGCGCCTGGCGGAGCTCGAAAAGCAGGAGCTCGAGGAGCAGTCGGCGCACGGCCGCTGGCCCGGCGCAGGGAAGGGGAGGCAGCGGAAAAGTCGGCGATGATGTCTTGTCCCCCGCGGAGAGGGAAGGCCGCCTGCCCCTTCCCTCTTCCCTGCCATGGTGTTCGTCTTCGGCAAGTATAATGCCGACGACACGGGCGGGGACCTGGCACTTCAGGTGGTGACCAGGTCCCCGCGGGCGCGGCCGCGCTGCGGCCGCGTAGACTCTTCCCCTCGGGGTTGTCCTGCCTCCTCCTCCTCCTCCTCCTCCTCCTCCTCCTCCTCCTCCTCCTACTACTACTCCTACTCCTACTCCTATCCTTATTCCTTATTAGAATATACTCCTACTCCCCCCTCAGGCCGGCAGATAGCGGGCGCATCCGGGTGGTCCCATCCTAACCTGTAAAAAACAATACAAAATCAACATTTTCTTATTTTTTCCTCTCGACATGGACGTCCTGTCGTCCACGGCGATAATCCATTGCAAAAAATACCACAAAGAGCACACGCGCGCGTTCATGTCAGAATCCTACCGAACACCGTGTGTTTGCAAGCATTTCAACATAAAAACATCAAAAACCCAATGCTTTTTCACAAAAATTGTACAAATTTCCCGCCCGGGCTCTCTTGCTGAAATCATAGGAAAACCATAGGAATCTTAAGAATTCTGTCAAATCCAGCGATTTCACGTCATCGCGCGGTGCACTCGCGATGCTCTGTCATGCACCCAGGCCGCGAATCCTGTGCAAAAAATATTACAAAGAGCACACTCGCGCGTTCATGTCAGAATCCTACCGAATACCGTGTTTTTGCAAGCATTTCAACATAAAAACATCAAAAACCCAATGCTTTTTCACAAAAATGCTTTGGGGTGTCCTGTCAGACCGTCGGGCTTCCTCCGGCCACCTCTGGCTTCCTGCGGTGTACCGGGCCATTCTCGACTCGTCTGGCAATGCGTGCGCGGCATTCAACACGCGCTCGCCAGTTCCCGTCGGCAACCGCCATCGCGGCCGCATCAGCTGTACCAAACCGGCTGGCCGGTGTGACTTCGGCCCCCAGTTGTGCCAGCTTTGCTTCTTATGTTGTGGGAGGGCGGGTGGGACTGGGCATGCCATGCTTGACTCGCTCGAGCTGGCTAGCTTGACTCCTACTCCTACTCCTACTCCTACTCCTCCTCATCATCACCATCATCATCATCATCATCACCATCATCATCATCATCATCCTCAGCCTCAGCCTCAGCCTCAGCCTCAGCCTCATCCTCATCATTTTCCTTGCCTCCTCCTCCTCCTCCTCCTCCTCCTCCTCCTCCTCCTCCTCCTCGCCTGACCGATTTCTTGGCTCCGCGCAGGCTCTCCCCGGCACGCTCGGCGCGCCAGTGAGGGGGTCAGCGCCAGTTCAAGCAATCCGCACGAACCTTCGAACTGTTTTGTCTACACGGCGTTCTCATTCGCCAAGTTGGGGGAGGGATGGGGACCGTCGCGAGCATGGCTCGCTCGCGCGCGAGGGAAGGAGCCGGCGGCAGCGCCGCTGTGTCCTCGCGTGGTCCCCCCCCCCACACACACACTTTTCCGCGCGCGGAGCTGCGGCTCTGCCGACTGTCGCCCGCCTCTGCTTCCGCCTCCGCATCGTATCCCTCCTCATTCTGGATATGAGGCACACTTGCGCCCCCACCTTGCGCCCCACTTTTTCGAGACCCGATTGTGAGGATGTTCCGCGAAGGCGCCACAACGACTACGCCCCACCCCCACCTGCCCCCCCACACAGGGGAGGGGGGGCCAGGTGGGGTTGGAGGTTCTCTATCGCTCACTTACTCCTGTCCCTCCTCCTCCTCGTCCTCCTCCTGCTCCTTTTTCTCATCCTTCCCCCCTTCACCTCCCAGCACTAATACTGTGGAGGAGGCTTCTTGGGGTCGTCTCGGCGTTCCCCACAGATGCGGTCGTAGCTGGGGCCAACCGTTTTCCATTTGCAGCAATGTTTTGATTGTATATAATGGCATTCGGCCCATCCGGCCACCTTGCATGGGTTGTGTTGCGGAGATGTCATGGAAGGCCTCTCGAAAGCCTCTTGGATACTTTTCTGGTGTGTCTGTGGGCTTTTCGGGTGCTGTTGATGTCTCTCGCATCTCGATTCAGGAAACAAGAAAACATCATAAGCATAAACGTTCGAAGGCCCACACAGATTCCTTGGATCGGCGCTCGAGCGCCCCTGGCGGCGCGTCCAGCGCCGATCCCTCCGCGTGGACCTCCGAACGTTTATGTTCAGGCACGTACCTACAAGTTTTCTTCGCATCCCCCCTTGTCGCTGCTCCCTTCGAAATCGCTTCAGGCCAGGTCAGGGCGGAGCAGCGGTGGAAAGACACCTCGGCGCGAATCATCCGGTACGCTGAGCCCTTCGGGGGCATTTAGGGCCCGAGCTTCCTCCCTCCTCCTCCGTTCGTTTTTCTTCTGAATCATTCCTCCCTGTCGCACCCCGAGGGCGGTCGAAAGGGCGGGCCAGGCGTTTCGCCCGAGATTTCTTTACCGCTTCTGAGCCTGAAGCTCAGAATTGGCAACAGCATCGCAGATGGAGGGCGAATGGTTTCCAACGTGTGGCTCTCGCCTTAGCCGCGCACATTCGTCAACAAACATGCAAGAGCTTCATGGGTTGAGGGCGGGTGGTTTTCAACATGTGATTCTCGCCTTAGCGCCGCGCACGTTCATTTTATCATTTGTATGATTTTCATTGATTGAGGGCGAGTCGTTTTCAAAATGTGGCTCTCGCCTTAACCCCGCGCGCATTCGGTTTCAAATGTTGCAAGAACTTCACGGATTGAGGGCGGGTCGTTTGAACATTGTGATTCATTTGCAAAGAGTTTCACGGATTGACGGTGGTTCCTGTTCAATATGTGGTTCTCGCCTTAGCGCCGCGCACATTCGTTTTAAACATTCGCAAGAGTGTCACCGATTCTCATGGTTAACGTACCAGTGGTTACTAGAAATGGCGTGTTGGAGCGATTGAAGATTGTCAGGGCGCAATTGTTACGTTGATTCGCGGTGTTGAAGCCCCAGGAATGGCGTTCTGGCGCGATTCAGGATCGCCAAGACGTAACAGTCGTTTTTGGGGTGTTGAAATCTTGATAATTGTGTTTGGGCACGCTTCTTGATTTCAACACTGTTGTCCACCAGCGGGACAGTTCCCTCAGTGGGGGTAAACCCTTGTAGGGGCCCATGAAGAGGGAGCTTGGAGGGCGGGTGTATTCCAAGATAGTTGATGAGTCCTGGGCTTACACTGGTCCTTCTCCTCCCCCGCCTCCTCCTCCGACCATGCGTGGTGACCCCCGCAGGTGCTCGAGCATCTTCCTCCTCCAGGTTTCCAGGTTTCCCCAGATTGGGTGTCCCCGCGCGCGCCGCGGACCCCTGCCCCGTGCCTAGAGAGGCACGGCTCCTGCCAGCGGGGCTGCACTTTCACTTAGCGTTGCAACCTCACCTCCTGGTCAGGAGAGAAGCCCCTGTGGCTTCTGGTCTGGGAGAAAACGTTGGACGGCCTTACGTCCAGTCACTCCTCTCTGAGTCTTCTGCTCCTGTGAGCGCTGCAGCCCCCACACCTGACGCAAAGTGTGACACCTCGAAAGACACGGAACTGGGGAGCATGGGTCTCATGGGCCTCGAAAGTGTTATGTTGTGGCACGCAGGGCTTCATCCGGGCACTGCCGCCGTGCGCGTTGGGATCCGCGTAGGTGTCCGCGTAGGAATCCGAATAGGAGTCTGGTCCGCAGTCGTCGTCGGCGTCGGCGGCGTCGTCGTCGTCGTCGTCGTCATCGCTCGTGGCTCGTCGCTCGTCGCTCATCGTCGTCGTGCGCGCGGACGCGGTTGGAGCCTGTTCTTTATTCCGGGCCGATCACGGCAATCATCTTGGGGGGGTTGAGGGGGTCGATGACGTCACGTTTCGTGCCGGCGGCGTCTGGGAATGCTTGAGAATGACGCAGGACGGGTGGCACCAGCATATTGGTGGCGATCTGCACCACAACGCCCGAGTACACCACAGTGCCTGCGTGCACCACAGCGCTTGTGTACACCACACCGCCTATGTACACCACAGCGGCCGCGTGCAACACAGCGTCAGTTTGTGCCACCTCGCCTGCGGGCACAGCAGCTGTTATGTAAACCGCAGCGCCTGCGTACACCACATCAGCCGTGTGCAACGTAGCACCAGTGTACACCACAATGCCTGCGTGCCTTGCAGTGCTTGTGTACACCACGGCGGTTGTGTGCACCACAGCAACCGTGTGCAACACAGCACCACAGTTGTATATATAAGTTCAGAAGGGATCCTTAAGAACAAATGGGGCGTTTATGGATTTCACAGACAACAATACAAATGAATCGTTATGGACAAAGGAGCGCCGCTGGAATCTACAAGTCCTCCCGAGTCCGCCGCATCACCCTAACTCCTCCCATCTGCGTCCAGGAGGCTCCAGCTAAATTACCCGCACGACAGGGGGTAAGGAGGAGGAAACGGAGGAGGAAGAGGAGGAGGGGGAAGAGGAGGAGGTGGAAGTGGAGGAGAGGGAAGGAGGGAAGAACGTCGCATTCGATTATCAGCACTTTCCTGCACGCAGGCACTGTGGTGTACATTAGCGTTGCGTTGCACGCGGATGCTGTGGTGTAGACAGGCGCTGCTCCGTGCACAGGTGCTGCGGTGCACGCAAAAATTGTTGTGTACACAGGCGCTGTGTTGCAGATGGTTGCTGCGGCGTACACAGGTACACTGGCGCTGTAGTGTACGCAAGCACTGTGGTGTACACAAGCGCTGCGTTGCACACGGTTGTTGCGGTGTACGCAGGTGTTGTGGTGTAAACGCGCGTTGTGGTGCATGCGAGCGTTGTGGTGTACACAGGCGCAGTGGGGCACATCGCCACCTACATGCTGCTCGCGTCGTCGTCGTCCTCGTCGCTCGTCGCTCGTCGCTCGTCGCTCGT